GGGGGGGGCCCCCCGGGGGCCCCTACGGGGGCCCCCGGGGCCCCAGCCGCAGCGCTGTTGTGCGCATTAGTGGGCTGGACTATTCTGTCTTGGAAAGTGATCTTCGGGAACTCATGGAGGCCAACGGGGGCCTCAACAAGGTTTGGATTGACTACGACAGGACTGACAGGAGCCACGTGCGCTGCTGCTGCTGCTGCTGCTGCTGCTGCTGCTGCTGGTGATGGTCTTGCTGCTGATGGTGATGGTGGTCTTGCTGCTGAAGGTGATGGTCTTGGTGCTGCTGCTGCTGCCGCCCCTGATGCTGCTGCTGATGTCGCCCTTGCTGCTGCTGATGGCTTTGCTGCTGCTGCTCCTGTTGCTGCGCCGGCTGCTGCTGCTGCTGCAGGGAATTCCCAGCAGCGCAGCAAAGCAGCAGGTGGCTTTGTCGTGGGCCTATTTATTATTAACTATTTATTATGTATTATTTATTATTTATTCACTGTTTATTATTTATTTATTTTTTATTATTTATCATTTATTGTTTCATTTTTTATTTTTTATTATTTACTCTTTGCCCGTGAACGAGCTCATGTGTGTGCCGGCTGTTCTGTGCAGCAGCAAGCCAGTCTTCCCGTTGCTGCTGCAGCTGTTGCTGCTGCTATTGTTGCTGCTGCTATCCCTGCTTTTGCGTCTGCTGCTGCAGCGCCTACTCGTGCTGCCATCAGCCGCTGCGTGGGCTGCATTTGCCGCTGCTGCAGTTGCTGCTGCTGCTGCTGCTGCCGCGTGCGTTTTGGCCGCGGCCGCGCCCGCAATCAGCGCGCACTAACTGCCTCCGCCCCTGCTGCTGCTGCTGCTGCTGCTGCTGCAGGGCACGGGCGGCTGCGTCTTCCGCACCCTTGCAGACGCCCGCAGAGCTGTTGAAACTTTCGATGGCCGCAGAATTGAAGGGAAGCAAATCCATTTGGAGCTGCAGCGGCCTCGGGGGCCCCCCTCTTGGGGCCCGGGGGCCCCTGGGTGGGGCCCCGGGGGCCCCCCGGCCTGGGGGCAGGGGGCCTCCTCCTGGGGCCCCTCGGGGGGCCCCTCTTGGGGCCAGGGGGGCCCCCGCGGCGGCAGGGGATTCAAACCCTGGTGAAGTGCCTTGCAGGCAACGCGGGGGGCCCCCAGGACCCTCTAACAGCCATTTCAGGGGTCCAGGGGCCCCTGGGGGCCCCAAAGGGGGCCCCCGGGGGCCTCAGTGTTGTCTTTCGCGGGGCCCCACAAGGCCCACAGGGGGCCCCAAAGGGGCCCCTAAAGGGCCCCTAGCGACTACGGGGGCCCCCCAGGGAGGCCCCCTAGGGGCCCCTCTGCAGGGTCTTTTGTGCGGATTGCTGCTTGAAGTGCATCGCTGGCGTGCAGTGTACGTACACCTGAGGGAGCGGATGCGAAGGGCGGGGCTGCTGCTGCTGTTGCTGCAGCAGTTGATGCAGCAGCTGCTGCGGCAGCTGGTGCAGCAACTGCTGC